GGCTGCGGAAGTCCTTTTGTAGCAATTAAGTCTTTTGTACCAATTAGGGGAGGAAAGAAGACACTGAAGGAAACCACTTGTTGCAACTGGTTCTGTAGTTTATGCAGGGGTCATACACAGCAAAATCACAAATACAGAACAAAATGGAGTTAGTTATGTCAATTCCTAACAGACCACTCTTAGCTCTCAAAAAATCCACTTATTTAATAGTATCCAAGAGGAGAAAGTGATCAACAATGTCAAATGCTGCAGAGAGGTCAAGGATGATAATCGAGAAAAGGCCATTTGATTTCATAATTCAGAAATCATTAGTAATTTTGGAGTGGGAAGTTTCTATTAAATGATGAGACTGGAAGCCTGATTATACAGGGTTTAGAAAGTTGTGAAAATAGAGGGTGTAGAGGTCCTAAGTGTAGATTATTTTCTCAGAGAGATTAGTCATCAAGGGGAGCATTGGTATAGGATGAAAGTTCATGAGTATGGTGGGTGGGATCAAGTGAGAGACTTTTAAGTGTGAGAAAGATATAGGCATGTTTGTAGGCAGCAGAGGCCTTTTCCTTCTAGTAGATAGGAATCTCTTGAAGATAAGAGAAAGAATGGAGATGACAGTGGGGATAATAGGCTGGAGAGATGAATAGGGGATACAATCAAGGGCACATATAGAGAGGTTTGCCTTGGTAAAGAGAAGGGCTACTTCTTCATCTGAGCCCAGAGCGAAGGAGGAAATAGTGGGGGAAGAATTCTCAGTAATGGATGTGAAAGAACGTGTTGGGAAGGAGGAGCTCTTTGTTTTCTTGTCAGTCAAGTTGACCCTAGGTCCTCAACTAAAAAGGTGGTGGGAAGGGGTGCTGTGGGATGCTTGAAGAAAGAGGAGATTTGAAACCACTGTTGTGGAGAGTGGCTGGTGAACCCATTAAGAAGAAATAGAATGTTTGTAATATCATAAATAGCATCTATCCAAAAGTAAGCATTACATATAATGGGGATATACTAGAACCTTTTCCAACAAATACAGGAGTGAAGTAAGAATACTCATTCTCCTCTTTAGTATTTGATACAGTACTGGAAATGCTAGCAATAAGACGAGAGAAAGAAATTCAAGGCCTAAAGATAGGTAAAGAGGGGATAAAACTATCCCAATTTGCTGATGATGTAGTATATTTGGAAAATTTTAAGGAATCAGAAAGATATTAATTGAAATAATTAATAGTTTCAGCAATTTTGCAGGCTACAAAATAAATCCTCAAAAATCAACATTTCTATATAATAATAAAATTCAAGAAGCAATAATAGAAAGAGAAATCCAAATGATTACAAAACACATAAAATATCTGGCGATTGACCTACCAAAGCACATAAAAGACTTGTACAGAGCCAATTCCAAAGTGCTCCTTAAAGAAATAAAGAACAACTTAAATAGCTAGAACAATATTCAGTGCTCATGGCTATGCCCTGCCAATATATTAAAAATGATAATACTAGCAAAATTAATGCATACTTTTAATGCTATCCCAATCAAATTATGAGGGGGATGCTTTATAGAACTTGATACATTAATAACAAAGTTCATTTGGAAAAAAATGAGAAATATAGACTATCTGAGGAAATGATGAAAAGAAATAAGGATGAAGAGAAAAAGACCTTAAACTATATTATAAAGCAGCAGTCATTAAAACCATCTGGTATTGGTTGAAAAATAAAGAGATAAATCACAGACTAGAGAAGAAAGAATCAGAAACAATGGAATGCAATAAACTGGTGTTTGATAAAGTGGAAAACATAAATTACCTAGGAAATAAATTTATAGATAAAAACTACTAGGAAAATTGGAAAGCAGTCTGGCAGAAATTAGCCTCAGACCAGCACTTTATATCACATTCTATAATACTCACTCAATGGATACATGACCTTAATATTAAAGATCATACTATAAAAAATTTAGAAGAGAAGTAGATCATATGCTTCTTATAGCTATGGGTAGGAAATAAAGGCAATAACAAAAGATAAAATAGATATTATGATTAGATGAAATTGAAAAGCTTCTTTCTGCACAGACAAAATTAATGTTCCTAGGATAAGAAGGTCGAATGGGAAAAAAAAGTTTTTGTATAAAATTTCTCTGATAAGGGTTTGTATCTAAGATTTATAAATTACATGCATATAATGTATGTGTATACACACACACACACACACACACACAAAATTAATAGCTTTTCTCCAGTAGATAGGTGGTCAAAGGATATGAAGAGTTTTCAAAAGAATTGCAAGTATTTATAACTATATACTTAACATCATTGATAAGAGAAATGCAAATCAAAGCCACCCTGAAGTGTTGTCTCACACCCTGCAAATTGGCATAGATGACCAAAAATGGCAACAGTCAATGTTGGAGGGATTGTGGAAGTGAATGTGACAAAATTATAAAGCTCAAGCATGACTAGAATGAAGAGATATGAGAGGATATTCCCAACCCACCTCTTTGTGGAGGTTGGAGGGCCACATGGGTTACACAGTGCATGTGTTTTCTTTTTCAGTATATCAGCTGGGCTGATTTATTTCCTCTTTAAAAAACTATTTGTTATATGGGATCGCTGTCTGGGAGGAGAATGGGAGAGTATCAACAGTCCCAGAGCCAGCCTCTAACCTGTGGATGGCCGGAGCCGAAGTGTAGGCTAGAGACAGGAGTCGGGAATCAAACTGAAGTTTAATTTCAAAGTGAGGAAATGGCTTGCAAATGAGGACACAGGTGCCAGAGCCCAGTCCCTAGTGGGGGCACCTGAGGCAGTGTGGCGAGATCTCAATACTTATACCTATGGCTACACAGTGAGTTTTAGCCCTAATAATGAGGGGTAACATTAACAATGTGACGTTTGATTCACAGCAGGGCTTCATGACTAGAAACATTTCTGGGATTTTGCTGTGGCTGAGATCACCAAGAGGGTGAATGCAAAGGATTGTTATTATGCCAAGCTCAGGACACAGCCTGCTTACTGGGCCTTAGTTCTGGAAAACTGTGTGTCTCTCAATATCTTGATGGGAGGGATACTGAGGATAATAAATTTGATGATATAAAAAATAAGACATTGCCAAAAACTTATTAAAAAAATGTTTGCCTCACTGTAATGCAGACCCTGTTGAAATTAGATACTAATTGTAGCGGGGCCCAGTCAGCATCATATTCAAAGCCCATGAATAGGAGGAGCAAGAGATGTGAGTAATGTAGGCTTGGGATTTGGCTATGGATAAAACAAGCAGATTCAAGGATAAATGATAGAATGGAATTGGTTCACCAAGGGGTTCAACTAGGGAAGAGAGGAGAGCGTAGCTTGCAGAGGGGAAAGTACTTAAGGGTGGAGGGTTGACGCTGTGGTTTGTTCTTTGTTTTCAAAGAGGACCAATGACACCATGGGGTGATGACCTGACTTGAAGGGGAAGTGGATTTAAGAAAGTCATCAGCCTGGTTCTCCCTTTCAGAGTCATTGACATCCAGCGGTAGGACAAAAATCAGGATGACTGGCGATAGCCTGGGACGCAGGGCAGGGCCTTGGTATCTCTGACGTCTGACCAAGCTGTAAGCCTTCCATGGCATCTGCTTTCCACCACCTTCCTTCCATTTCCCACTTTTAATCCCCTCCTAGCTTGATCATCAGTAAGAGGGGATTCAGTTGTAGTTGTCAAAGACTATCTTTGTTATCTTATCATGCTCCTGGATTTGTTCTCATTCCCAGCTCATTGTTTGTCCTTCCTGCTCAAAGACCATGACATCAGGAAGGTGATGCCAGGACATGAAAGTGAATTGGATTACAGTGAGGGAGGGCTGTAAAAAGTCACCAGCCTCACTTTCTCCTCCAGAGCCATCTGAGTCCAGTGGGCAGATATGGATCAGGACGACTAGCGATGGCCTTGGAGAGGCAGGGTAGGCCCAAACTCCAAAGCGAGGGTAACTCTCAAGGCAGTGACATGTCATTTTTTGAGGTTTCCCATGTATAGAACCTGGAAGGTTCTGCCTCATCACTTATTTCTTAGGCATACTTTCCAATACGTTTCTTGCCACTCTCAGAAAATTTCCACCTTTACATAAAAGGGTGGAGGGACTGAGAGGACAAAGAATGAGGGCAGGGGTCATAAAGGATCATAAGGAAAGGTGGAATGAAAAAAGGTTGTGACCAGACAAAGAAGTTCACAGTTCAAAACAAGTAGGTATCCTGTGGCCTCATTAATAACCGCATTATTTCTCTTGGGTCCAAGGCTCCAGTCAATGTCCCAGGGACTCCCAACAAAGCTGTAAAATCTAATGCAGCCTCCATAGCCCTGGCCTTCTTTCCAGGGCCGGATTCCCTGAGATCCCGCCGGTGCAAGCTTGATGCAAACTTGCTGCCCGGGTCCGAATGAGACGCAGCTTCACCCGGAGGTTCCTGATTTCTCTTCCCATAAATAATAACCTATCCACTTAGTTTTATTTAAAAAACACAATCAGCTGCCATCTGCAGGCCTTCCCAAGGTCTCTGCCCCGAGCGGGCCCAGGAGGTGCCGTCCAACTCTTACTGCACCCATGTTCTCGAAGAGTAAACTGAGGCTGGGGGAGGAGGCTTGGGGCTTGGATTCCGAGTCCGAGGCCTCTGGTCCAGCGCAGAGACCCAGGCATGAGGGTATTGGTCAGAACCGCAGGGCAATGCGCAGGGCGGCCTCGGGGCAGACTGGGGGCCCGTCTCCGGGCCACGCACGCCCGGTTCGGCTCGAGCCGTTAGGAGGAAGCCTAGCCTATAGGAAGGCTGGCTTGGAGAGTGGCTGGGGGCGGGAGAGGAGGCGAGGGGCGGGGGGATGCGGAGCTGAGAGGAATCCAGGCTCCCGCGCCAAGCCGCAAGGCGGTAGGGGGCGGGGCTTAATGCTCAAGACGGCATCGGATTGGCTGGAGTGCCTCTGGGCCCGCCTCCTAGCCGCCTCCATCATACATATTGATGACTTGCGCCGAGGAGCGTATTGATTATTCATCACGTTTCGCGGGCTCCTCCGGGTCACGTGGGCTTTTTCGCGCGAAAGCTACTTGCCCGGGAAGGAAGGAACTGCGGGTCGGGTAGCTGAGCTGAAGCAACTATGGCGGTGAGCGGGGAGCACGGCCAACCTGGAGGCCGGGAGACGGGGGGAACGTGACGGAGGGAGACCCGTGAAGCGGATACGGGGGCTTTGAGGGACTCGGTTGGGGCTGCGATGAAATAGAGAAAGAAAAGAGGGGTGGTGGGGGAAATGAGAAAACTTTGGGCATGTTGCGCATGCGCAGTGAGCAGGCGAGGGGCCCTTGCGCCTCCTACGAGTGGGGGGAGGGGAAGGTTGTGCATTGGTTCCACAGGCATTTATTAAGCGCCTGTTGTTTAGGGCCCTGCAGTCTTAGTGGGGATGAGGCCCCCACCTGCAGACGGAACTGTAGGGACTAGCCCACTAGGTTGGGGGGGCAAGTGGGAAGTCATTATCGGGTGGAGGTAACTGGGTGGGTGAGAGGGGAAGCATGGGTGGGGGCGGGGCAGGAGAGTGGTCTTGGGGTGGGGGGCGGGGACAATCTGCAGGGGTAGAAAGAGAGTAGACTAGAAGTCTGTTCTTTCTCTTCTGGTCCAGTTTCCATATGTGTATATATATATGCATTGAAATGAGTCAGACGAGTTAAATGTCTCAAGTTGATTATTTCATTTTAGAGATGAGAGAGGAGCCCTAGGCCCTGAAAAGTGGGTGACTTGCCCAGGGTCATACAGTTAGTAAACAATCAGTAGAACCAGGATTCCTAGGGAAGTCCTGATCCCCGAACTCCAGGTGCCAGGGTCTGTGACTCAAAAAAAGACCTAGATAGAGGTAGTTTAGAGGAGACGCAGTCTTTGCTCTCATTGGAACGTAAACCCTAATAGGGGGAAAAAAACAAGTAGGCTAACAACACCTAAGTGCATTGGAGGGATGAGGCACCAGCCTGGGTGAAGGAAATTAATGGTAGAGTATCCAGGAAGACTTCTAGTAAATAAACGTTTATTAAGCACTTGTTAAATTACCAGCCCCCTCCTACCCCTGAACTTAGGCAAAGGGAAAAAAAAAGTCTCTGTTCTCAGGGAGTTTACCTGTTACTCAGGGTAAATGGGTAAATATACAGATAATTACAAAATATTTCAAAGAAATTTCAAATGTAGGGGGGGGAAGTACTAACAAGTTCAGAAAAAGCCTCTGGAGGGATGTGGTGCTTGAGCTGAGCTTTGAAGGGGGAGGAATGGGAGCTTCCAAGAAACAGGAATCAGGAAGAAGAGCATCCTGCGGCTTCCTGGAGGAGGGAGCATTAGAGTTTGGGCTTTAGAGAATGGATAGAAATTCAACAGGTGAAGAAGGAAGGGGGGATGGCAGTACACCCATAGGGAGCTGTGAGGAAGGGGGCTTCTCTTGAGTTAGAAAGACCTTGTTTAGCCAGGCTTATAAAAGTGAGGAGGAGGCTGCCGGGGCTGAGCAGACTAAAAAGAAGCATTCTACTCATTGCCTTAAAGAGCCTTTCCTCTGAGTCTTTGATGTACTTAATATTTTGTAATTATCTGTATATTTACCCATTTACCCTGAGTAACAGGTAAACTCCCTGAGAACAGAGACTTTTTTTTCCCTTTGCCTAAGTTCAGGGGTAGGAGAGAGCTGATAATCTAACCAGTGCTTAATAAATGTTTATTTACCAAAAGTCTTCCCGGATTCTCTACCATTAATTTCCTTCACCCAGGCTGGTGCCTCATCCCTCCAATGCACTTAGGTGTTGTTAGCCTATTTGTTTTTTTCCCTATATTAGCATTCTCACCTACAACTTGAATTGGCACCAGGGCTGAAAGTGCCCCAATTTATTATCTCCCTTTTATTTCTACCTTCTCTGCTTTGACAGAAGTTTTTTTTTTTAACCTGAAAAATAATTGATCTAAAAGGAAATCTCTACTTTGCAGGATTCTTTCCTAAAGTAAGGGTAAAGAAAACTTATTTCCTTATACTTCAGTTCTCACCCCATAGATCCTCTTCTTGACCCTAGCTTTCTTGCCAAAACAAGCCCTTCTGTGAAAGCCTCCTTGTCACTGCCTCTACACAAATGCAGAACTGTTGACCATTCTGGTCCTTTTTCAGGATTCCTCAGAGTCTTTAAATATAGCCTCCTCCAGTCCAGCCCGAAGATACAGACGTGTCAGTGATGGTTTGACATCCAGCCCGGGGCGAGGTTCCCGGCGTGGGGGCACTGATGCTTTGACCTCCAGCCCTGGCAGAGACCTGCCACCATTTGAAGATGAATCAGAAGGTCTTCTGGGCACTGAAGGGCTTCCTGATGAAGAGGAAGAGGATGGAGAAGAGCTTATTGGGGATGGAATGGAGAGGTGAGAGGTTTGGGGGTGGGAGGGGAGCAGAATTGGTGGTGGGAGGATCAGGGCATTTGAGAGTATTCTAGACCAGAACCCTATTCTTTAGGACTGGCTAGTCAGGTAGGATACCAGGGATTAATTCCATCTGTCACTGCTTTTTTAGCAAGTTTCTTCTCCCTGTGTCAGTTTCCCTTCCATAATATATGGAAATGATGATAGCACTGAAACAACATACTAGAATTTTTTGGATGTAGCCTTAGCTATCCTTAGGGGGAAATGTATGTCTCTTTATCTGGTGTATATCTGTATATCTGTTGAGGTTTCATGGTGTGTTGTGGTGGGACCATCTCAAAGAATTCAAAGTCAGACCACCTCTAATCCAAGTATAGGCGTTTATTGAAAATTGACGCCCCTCAGAAGCAGGCTAGGTTCCAAGAAGAACCAGCAACTTAGTAAGGTAAAATAGGCAATTTTATAATGTAATGATGCTGATTACACAACAAAAACTATGAATATTAAAAAGGCAGGAGCAGTTTGTTAACGGATTAGGTAATGGGGAGGGCTCCTTTCTATGATTCAGTGATCAAACATCCTGGTGGTGTTGCTTTCTGATTGGCTACCTATTATGGTCATGTCTAGTCAAGGTGAATAGTTAGGTATTGTGGTCCTGTCTTAGGCTAAATGCTAATGTGATTGTGGTTGAGTACAAGAACATATCTGTTCAAATATATGAACTGGATCTGGGGGCAGTGGCTAGCTAGGGGCAGTGTCTGTATTGAGCCTGGGAGCCTATGATGTGGTTAAAGCCAGATTGTGTGGTCAAATCAGGACGTGCCTGTTGTTCAGTGAGGCCCATTAGGAAGTTAGAATATTGGGGCTGGGGGCAGCTTTATTAGGATTCCATCACTTTCATCAGCAGAAGAGAAGGAGCAGGTCAATGAACTGGACATGCAACTAATAAAAATTAGATAACCAACAAATTTTTAAAACTTAAACGCCAAAATGGAAAATTTGAAAGTCAAAGAAGAGATTAATAAAATTGCGAGTCATTTTCCCTTTGCTGAGATAATATATTATAGTTATTAAGCAAAAACTGCACCAAGACTTTTGGAACACCCTATATTTTGAGCATTATGTTGTAATTATGCAGACATACTGCTCTACAGACATCAGAGATTCTGTATTGGATCTTAGCAGTGCTTTTTTCATACAATATTCTTTCTCTGACAGCAGCATCAAAAGATGATGTGTGGGAGAGCACAACTGCCTACCTTGATACTGACTGTAAAGATTGATGTTGTCTAAACATCCCTAACTTTAAGTCATAAATGTCTGTATCCATTAATAAAGTGCTTTTTGATCTCTGGGGTCGTGAGGTCTTATGAATGAGACAATTACCCTTTGTAGCCCTAAGGCTAGCCACGTGAGCCCTCTGTGTCCGTGACTGTAGAACTTGCGTTGTCTTTCCTCTGCACTAACTCTACTTGCTCTTGGGTCTCCCTAGGGATTACCGAGCCATTCCCGAGCTAGACACCTATGAGGCAGAAGGGTTAGCCCTCGATGATGAAGATGTGGAGGAGCTGACAGCCAGCCAGAGGGAAGCTGCTGAGCGGGTGATGCGGCAGCGAGACCGGGAGACTGACCGAGGCTTGGGGCGCATGCGCCGAGGGCTGCTCTATGGTAAATACTTCGGATTTCTTGCTTTTTGGGACTAAGCGCCTAAAAGTGCTTGATTTTTATTATCTCTTCCCGTCCCAGGGCTTGGGGATAAACCTTTGGAGGGAAGAAGAGAAAGAGGGGAAGGAAGATGGTATTTATGCTCAGTTAAAGAGACTTGCCATTCAACAAGTCCATCTCCTTTGGGGCTACCATGATTTCCATGGTATTCAAACTTTTTTGCCCTTCTCAGCTGTAGGTTAATGGCTGCAGGTGATCTATTCACTGAATAATGGGAAAGGTGGGTATGGCCCCAGGGAGCACACTGGATTGGTGGTTGAGAGGGAATGATCTGGTGGAAGGAAGCTATGAATTAGACGAAGGGAGAGACAGAGGAGGCTGACCGGCTTGTTCCTTATGGTCCTCAGATAGTGATGAAGAAGATGAGGAACGGCCAGCCCGGAAGCGGCGCCTGGTGGAGCGGGGCACAGAGGAGGGAGAGGAGGAGGAGGACATGATAGAGAGCATTGAGAATCTAGAGGACTTGAAAGGCCACACCGTTCGGGAGTGGGTGAGCATGGCAGGCCCTCGACTGGAGATCCACCATCGATTCAAGAACTTTTTACGCACTCATGTGGATGGACACGGTCACAACGTCTTCAAGGAGCGAATTAGCGACATGTGTAAAGGTACATGGCCAGGGCTCCCTTCTCTTTCCCCTGCTCTCAGACCCCATCCCATTTCTCATGTTTTCTCCCTTTCAAAATACATTGCACATCTAGTTTTCTATTTTCTGTTCTCCTAACAAGATGCTGTTTTTAGCCCTTTAACGGATAAATTAGGACACAGGGCACTTCACCAAGCTGAAGTGAGCAGAGCTAGACCTTGAGTACATGGTTTTTGAGAATTCTTGCTCTGTGCTCTTTCTCCATGCGTGTTGTCCTGACTCTAGCATGGCCGAATTCGAGTTAGGGCCATGTTCTCCCCAACGTAAGTAGAAGGAAACCTGCCTGCATTGCTCAGGACCCTAGAGAAAAGCTGCCTTGGAATTCTAAAACCATTTTTGTGTCCCCCCTGCAGTTGCACCTTTCTGACCTCTCATACATGCGTGGTATCTCCTAATTAGTGGGTGAGCTCTATGAGAGCTGCGACTGTCTGGCTTTTTCTGCTGGCATCCCAGGACTTAACAGAGTGCTTGGTGTTAGTAAGCACTTACTACTTACTCTCCATTCGTTCATCTTTCCACCTCACCAGAGAACAGGGAAAGCTTGGTAGTAAACTATGAAGACCTGGCTGCCCGGGAACATGTCCTGGCCTACTTCTTACCCGAGGCACCAGCAGAGCTCCTTGGGATCTTTGACGAAGCTGCCCGAGAGGTGGTGTTGGCCATGTACCCAAAGTACGACCGAATTGCCAGTCACATCCACGTCCGTATCTCTCACCTTCCCCTAGTGGAGGAACTGCGCTCCCTCAGGTGAGAAGGAGGGAAGCAGAGCCAGGGTCCTCAGGGGAACGGGTGACGGGGATTGCTTACCAGTTTCTTCTGCTAGACCTTCTGAAAGCTGGGCCTCTGTGGGGTTTACTTCACCCTTTCTAGACCTGGATGGGATAGTAGGATGAGAAATTAAAGTCTACCTAGAATGCCTAGGGGAACAAATCCTGAAGAGTTCTGTCTTGTGCAGGGATAAATGAAGATAGATCTGGCTAGTTCTGCCCAGTGGGGCAGCTGAGGCTTTCGTTTTCTGGAACAGGATTTCTGTGTGCCCTGAATGAGAGTCCTCTGGTCCTTCCCGGCCTTGGCCTACTCTGAGGAGTGGCCCCGGCCAGAGCCAGTTCGCCTGTGGCCTCTGAGTGGTTCTTCTTCCTTCCCCACCCTCCTCTCCTTCCTATAGGCAGCTGCACCTGAACCAGTTAATCCGAACCAGTGGAGTGGTGACCAGCTGCACAGGAGTCCTGCCTCAACTCAGCATGGTCAAGTACAACTGCAACAAATGCAACTTTGTCCTGGGGCCATTTTGTCAGTCCCAAAACCAGGAGGTGAAGCCCGGCTCCTGTCCTGAATGCCAGTCCGCTGGTCCCTTTGAAGTCAACATGGAAGAGGTGAGCACAGGTGGTTCAGTGGATAGAGCATCAGGCCTGGAGTCAGGAAGACCTGAGTTCAAATCCAGTCTCAGACACTAGCTAGCTGTGTAACCCTGAGCAAGTCACTTTGCCTCGTTTGCCTCAGTTTCCTCATCTGTAAAATGGGGATAATAACAGCTCCTATCTTCCAGAGTTGTTGTGAGGATCAAATGAGATAATATTTGTAAAGTGCTTAGCACAGTGCCTGGTCATAGTAAATGCCCTATAAACATTAGCTATTATTATAATTATTCTATTACTACTATAGTCTGCCTGGAGGAAAACTAACTAGGCAGTATGAAGCAGTCATTTTGACTGCTCGGGGCATGTGGTGGGGTATTCCCTGAGTGTAATTGCCCTTCCTCTTAAAAAGAGAAATCTTAGCATGCATCCATAGCATGAGTGATCCCTTCCTGTGCTTCCTGGAGTGTCTGGGTGGATATGAGTGAGAGGCATTTGGCCAGCCTCACCTGCAGCATCACCAGGTGACCTTGGTTAAGTCACATCTTTTCTGCCTTCATCTTCATCTGTCATTTACACGTAACACTGCTCCCTGAAGGACTGGGAAGGATTGACCAGTAGAAGGAAATAATGAGAAGTCAGAAGGTCAGCAGTGATCCTCCATGACTTTTTTATTGGAGAAGCCTTCTGGAGAAGGGCATGTCAGGGTAGATAGAAAGTCTTTACTTTCTGTGTGCCCCTATATAGGGCTGTGGCATGAAGAGTGAGACATGGGTTCTTGTCTTGGCTCCCATCCTAACTAGTTGTAAGACTTTCAGCAAGTCATTTATCCTAACTATATTGGTTTCTTCAGATATATCAACATAAATATCCATATCTGTGTATCCTGGCCAATTCCACAGGGATATCATCAGGATAAAATGAGATAATGTAGATGAAAGAGCTTTGACAGATTAAAAGTGCAACATAACAAATATAAGGCATTACTGTCCCAGAGGCGGAGGGAATTATTAAGTTTGCTTTGTCAGTTACATTAAATATTAAGCACCTGCAGCATTCAACACTATGTGACAGGCACCGAAGGAATACAAAGAGAGGGTCCTTACCCTCAAGTAAGGTAGCTAAAGAAATAAGTGTCATACAAAGGAGGATACTGAGTGCTGTAAGAGGTTCAAATGTTTTGGGGATTTGGAGGAAAGCAGAGACCATAAATCCTGAGAGATTGGGAAGATTTTATGAAAGATGCTGCTTTGAACTGAAACTTGAAGAATGGGTAGGATTTTGATAGACAGTGATGAGGAAGGAGGCATTTCAGGTAGAAGGAACAGTGAGCAAAGGTGGGGCAGTGGGAAAATGAAGAGTTTTTAGGAGAATCGCAAGTGTTTGAGTACAGCTGGAATATATTGTATATATAGATGACAGAAGATAAACAGCTAGAGGCTGTTTGGGGCTAGGGCATAAACTTTGAATTTCCTATGGAGGTGGGACTTGATCCTGTATAGGCATTGATGAGCAGCCATAGTTTTTTGAGCAGGGTAATGGCATGACTAGAGAGCAGTGCTTTAGGATTCTCACTAGAGCATCCTTTGTCTTCTCTAGACAATCTACCAAAACTACCAGCGCATCCGAATCCAAGAGAGTCCAGGGAAAGTGGCTGCGGGCAGGCTTCCTCGGTCCAAAGATGCCATCCTCCTTGCCGATCTAGTAGACAGCTGCAAGCCAGGAGATGAAATTGTGAGTGAGCGGGAGAAAGAGGGGGGCTGAGCCACCTTCACCTCCGGACCACACACTGGGAAATGCAGAAGAGTGGGTACAGGTTGGGGGAAAGATGGGTGTGGCAGTGTTTGTAATGGGTGAAATGTGCATTTGCATATATAACTTGAACCAGTCAAATGAAGAAGCCTGGGGTGAAGATGATGATGAGAACAACAGAGTGGAACCTTGCTCTGCCATTCATTCATTGAATAATTTAGGGCAGGACAGCTTATTTATTTGTACCCTGGTTAGATAAATAACTTGGATAATGGAGTTTGGAATTATTTCCCCTATAGTTCTAAATAATTTTCTAATCTTGGTACTTCAGGATTAGAGGGCTTAAGGAAAAATAATAAATTGGTGGAGGCCAGCTGTGGGGTGGGATCTAACTCTTAGCCTTGCTCCTCCAAAAGGGCCATTGACCACTTCCTTTTTTCCCATTCAGGAGCTGACAGGCATCTACCACAACAACTACGATGGCTCCCTTAACACTGCTAATGGCTTCCCTGTCTTTGCTACGGTTATCTTGGCCAATCATGTGGCCAAGAAGGATGACAAAGTAGCTGTAGGGGAACTGACTGATGAGGATGTGAAGACTATTATTAGCCTCTCTAAGGATCAGCAGATTGGAGAGAAGGTGAGTTGGGTGGAGAAATCTTGTTGTGGAGATGTTTAGCAGTTAAAATCTTTTCACTGAATCACCTTGACCTCTCCTGTCTGAGTCTTTAATTCTGGATTTGTCCTTTCCCCAAAGTGGTCAGTGAGTATATTGGCTCTCGAGTGAACTGTGGGTATGTCCAAGAAACCCATAAGATAGGACAGAATGTCTCAGAGTTGCTGAGATCCCTAATTTTGGGGGCACATAACTGCAGATAATTTTATTTCCACTGTGTGGAGCTGACACATCACCAAACCAGAGGAACGGACCTTTGAAGGCCTGTAGTGCCTTAGTGTCTGCAGGCTAAGTGTATGCTGACATGGAAACCAGGACCTCTTAGGGTTCTAGCTCCTGTTTCCCCGCAGTGGTCCTTCACCGTATTATTATCTTCACCTCGAGAGATGAATGACTGTCTGTGAAGTGTCATAGAGGCTTATAATATTGCCATTGTTTGGAAAAGTGATAGTGCTCAAGGTTCTAGTTCCCATCATGCTTTCAGGATGCTTGTGTGAGAGGCAGAGGATCATTCTCCTGGGGGTGTGCAGAGGGTATATTACAAGGAAGTTTAAAGAACCCTGACACCTCAGGGGAGGGGGGTGTAGTCCATCCCACTCTCGTAGCATCTAGTGCTATCATTCTGCCCTAGTCTTTTCTATTGAGGAAGAAAGCCCTGTTAGGGAGTTAATGTGGTTACCTAGTTCTAGGAGTTTTTGCATTTTAATGTAGCAGCATAGGGGAGACAGTGAAGTGGAAGAGGCATCATGGGGTTAAAGAATTCTTTACTTGGAATGCTCATCCTCCTCATCACTGCTTCCTTCAGGTCCCAGCTCAAATCCCACCTACTGCACAAAGCCTTCCTAATTCCCCTTAATGTCAGTGACGTCTCTCTGTCAATCATCTCCGGTTTGTCCTGTCTCTGTCTTGTCTGTTCATTGTTGTTTTCTCCGTGTCTCCCCCGTGAGACTATGAGCTCCTTGAGGGCAGGGACCGCCTTGCCTTTCTTTGTATCCCCAGTGCTTAGACAATGCCTGGCACACAGAAGGCACTTAATACATGTTTATTGACTGGCTGATTTAACTGGAGAATATGCCTCAGAATTGCTTATTAGAAATCACCTGCCTCTCTAAGGTTAGCTTTTACTGGGGTTGTAGTAAGAGCTTCCAGGGGTTCCAAATGCTGTCAGCACCTGTAGCCTCACACACTGGTTGATTCTTTCAGGTCTTTGCTAGCATTGCCCCTTCTATCTATGGACATGAAGACATTAAGAGAGGCCTCGCCCTGGCTTTATTTGGAGGAGAACCCAAAAACCCAGGTAAGTGGTAATGTACCATGGGGCTGACTTGTGGCTTTTTCAATGTTGACTCTCTCATTTTAGTGCACGTTCTATTTAGAAGCAGTCTTATATGAGACCTGTTTGACAGAAGTGTATGTGTTTGGTAGTTTGCAATTTGAGGGTGAGGACACATGTTCAAAGGTAGCCTGTGTTGACGAGGGATAACTGGTAGCTTTTCGTGCTCTTCATACTGTAGCCAAAATGGTCTGAGTGACCCCCCCCCCCGCCCCATAATACCTTGATGCTCCCCTCTGTCTTTGTCCATCAACTGGTTATCTCGGTGGTATGGTGCTTCTTCTTTGTCCCTATTGCCCTCCTGACTAAGTGACAGTAAGGAATCAGTGGAGTTCAGCTGCCTGATAAGTCCCTAGTTCTTACCTTCCTCACTTCCTCACTCCAGGACAGTGTTACCTATCCCCCAAACATTTATCCCTTTCTCCTTTTAGGTGGCAAGCACAAGGTTCGAGGTGATATCAATGTGCTGTTATGTGGGGATCCTGGCACAGCCAAATCGCAGTTCCTTAAGTATGTGGAAAAAGTGTCTAGCCGAGCCATCTTCACCACTGGCCAGGGGGCCTCAGCTGTGGGGCTCACTGCATATGTCCAGCGGCATCCTGTCAGTCGAGAATGGACCTTAGAAGCTGGAGCATTGGTTCTGGCTGACCGAGGGGTGTGCTTGATTGACGAGTTTGACAAGGTGGGTGCTTGGGCTTTAAAGGTGTTGAAAACTGGTTTATGGGAAAAGCTCTTGGTTGAACCCAAGTCTGGCGTAGACGAGGGAGTGGGGATGTGGACTAAGAAGGACACTTGCCTATACTGCAGATGAATGACCAGGACAGGACCAGCATCCATGAAGCCATGGAACAGCAGAGCATCTCCATATCCAAGGCTGGCATCGTCACCTCCCTGCAGGCCCGCTGCACTGTCATCGCTGCTGCCAACCCCATAGGTATTAGGGTTGGGGGGTAGGAATGGTTCTTCCCCTTTGAATACAGAGACTGGCGAGAGGGCTTGACTCCCAGTAGAAGACCGTGTCGGAGGGATTCTGCCATCGTTTCTAGGAGTCCATATGGCCCTTCACCTTCTTGTCTCTACGATTATACCAGCTAGAAGTAGGTTAGGGCATCTGCTCCCCAGCTTTGGTTTGGGAAAGTAACTGATAACAAGAGGTGCAATAAAGCCTCTGATAATATATGTTCATTTATGTTAGAAACACTAAAAATAACAGCTCTCATTTACACAGCAGTGTAAGATTTGTGAAGCACTTGGCATACGTTATCAAGATTGAACCTCTTAACAGTCCTTTGAGGGAGGTGCTAATGTTATCCCTGTTTACAGAAGAGGAAACAAGCTCAAGAAGTTAAGCTAATTTGCAACTCACAGCATTTCAGGTGACACTTGAACCCAGGTCTTTCCAGGTTCAAGCCCACTGCTCAAGAGCCCACTATGTTCTGTAGCATTTCCCTTTTTTTTTTTTTTTTTTTTTTTTTTTGGTGAGGTAATTGGGGTTAAGTAACTTGCCCAGGGTCACACAGCTAGAACGTGTCAAGTGTTTGGTCTGAGGCCAGATTTGAACTCAGGTCCTCCTGACTTTAGGGCCGGTGCTCTATCCACTGCGCCATCTAGCTGCCCCTCCCTTTTATTTTATAGCTATCTTTTGATAACGTTTCCTTAATATGAGAGAAAATATTTGTTTGAAACTTAGAGCTTATAATATTTGAAATGGAGCAGGAGGAGATACTTTCTGACTAAGGAGGACAAAGGAAGGCTGCCTGTTGTCAACATTACTGTTCATTATAGTTTTAGAAATACTAGCTTTGCAGTAAGATTTTTTTTTTAATGGCATAGAAGGCAAAGACGATATCAAATATCCATTTGTGGATATACTTTGTTTAGAAAACCCAACAGACAACAAAATGAACCAAAATAATAATTCAAATGGGTTTAACAAGATACCAGAATATAAGAGAACCACACTAAAACCATAAGCTAATAAAAATAATCACAGCAATAAAATGTATCAAAGACTAGGTCTTTCATTTAACAAAGACCTATGTAAAGCCAACTGTAAAACACTTTAGACAATAGTAAAGGAAGAGTTAAGTAATTTAAGAGATGTTCAAAGTACATGGCTTAGGTTGAGACAGTAAGATGGTGATACTGTCTAAATTAATTTGTAGATTTAATGTAGTACCCAGATTAACAAAAATATTTTTTACACTTATACATCGCTTTTGAGATCTATAAAAAAAGGATGGAGGTGGCACTAGGAAGGCAATCCTGGGGACTCAATTGAGCATTTACATTTCATCGGCATCTACGCTCTGCTCTCTCTGTAAATGTGGGAGAGAGAAGTCAGGTTCATACTACCTTGCAGAGCAGGCATTAGGTTTCCATCAGGGCAGTTCAGGTGTTGCTACACATCTTTTTGTTACTAGCTTTTCTTCTCTGAGAAGCAGCTGGACCCTCTGAACTATTTTCCTAGGTCATTCAACCCTTACAGAAATAGCATGTCTACCTTTGTCTTTGCAACATCTATATGGACCATTTTGTCCTTGGGCTGGAGAAAGTGTTCTGAAAGCTGAGTAGAGGTACAGACTTGGGAAAGTAAGAATTAATTGAATCACCCTTATGTTGCAGGAGGGCGTTATGATCCTTCATTGACTTTCTCAGAAAATGTGGATCTCACAGAGCCCATCATCTCCCGCTTTGATGTCCTGTGTGTTGTGCGGGATACTGTGGATCCTGTTCAGGTACTGCTATTCTCCAAGAGATTTGAGCAGTGAGGCTTATTAATAAGGAAAACTCACATTTATGTAGTACTTTACAGTTTATATAGTGCCTTCCTCAAAATCCTGTGAGATGAGTGATTATAGGTAATTGTCTTCCCATTTTACAGGTTTCCTGAGGCTTAGAAGGTTAACTGACTTGCCTAGTCACATGGCTAGTAAGTGTCAGAGCCAGGATTGAAAACCAAGTTTTCTGACTCCACATGCAGTGGAGTGCTCTTCCCTCAGAACTCTCCAAACTAGGGGTTCTTAACATTTTTTGTGTCATGGTCCTCTTTGGAAGTCTGATGAATCCTGTTGCCCCCTTCTCAGAATCATGTTAAATGCATATAGTAAATTGAAGAGGAAATATCAAAATAGAAGTTAGTGGTTAGTGAAAATAAAGATGTAATTTTTTTAGCTAGCCAAGCTCACAGGAATCTAACCATGCATCCTTCGGGAATCCAGAGACTCCAGGGTATGAACCACTGCTACTCCTGACTTTGGTACTTGGATGGTGCTTGGGAATGTTGGGTTCATTATGGTAGTAGTACTGAGCAGAAGGAAAGGGATGACCCGATTGGAGATATCATTCTGGTGGTTAATTGGTTGCCTTCTCAGGGTCATTTCATCTCATTTCTTCTATCTGGCTTCCCATGGTTAAGATGATTGAATGACTTGCTGCAGGATATGGATTTGGTTTAGAAAAACAAAGTGTCCTAACTGACCTTTCCCCTCACCAGGATGAAATGCTGGCCCGCTTTGTGGTTGGCAGCCACGTTAAACACCACCCCAGCAATAAGGAAGAGGAGGTAGCCAGTGGTAGGGCACCGGAACCAGCCTTGCCAAACACATATGGTGTGGAGCCCTTACCTCAGGAGATACTGAAGAAGTACATCATCTATGCCAAGGAGAAGGTCCACCCAAAACTCAACCAGATGGACCAGGATAAAGTTGCCAAGATGTACAGTGACCTAAGGAAAGAATCCATGGTGAGAACCCTAGGGAGTAAAACTCAGACTGGGAGGAAAGGTGATTTCGGTTCAGTTCAGCAGGCATTTACCAAGAACCTACGATGTGGTAGGAACTGAGTATACAAAAACAAGAAGTAGTCACTGCCCTTAAGTTCATATGCTACTGGAGGACATAGCATATAGACAGGGAAGCAAGTAATAATTTGAGGACAAAGAGAACACTAAGGTCTAGGAAAGGTTTCTTCTACGTGGTGGCATCTGAAGTGAGGAGGAAGATCATTGGGCAGAAAAACCTGGATGAAACAAAAAAAAGGTGATGCATCGCTAGGTTTAGGAATAGGGGAGTAGGCTGGTTTGGCTGGAAGCAGAGTGTAATACTAGATTTAAATGTAATTGGGAAATATTTAACGAAATACAAGAGCATATTTAATGTTAACGTGATTTTCTAAGTCAATATTCAGCCCATAGGGATCCCATTTCTACTTCACTTTGGTACCACTGTAGTAGGTGTAAAGGGGAACAATATGAACTAAGTCCGGAAAGGTGCAGCTGGTGCCATGTCACATGAAGGGTTTTAAATGCAAGGCTTGGTGATATGGACCTACTCATCACCAAGATAGTTTTTCCAGACTTGTTGGACATGTAGGGAGTGTTTCTTCTGTTTTCTTTGCTATTTTTCTTTACTCCTCTAAACACTAGTTTACTAGATTTCCCTCCAGCTAAAAGCCTGAACATGATCTCTCTCCGGCAGGCCACAGGCAGCATCCCCATCACGGTTCGGCACATTGAATCAATGATCCGAATGGCAGAAGCCCATGCCCGCATTCACCTTCGGGACTATGTGCTGGAAGATGATGTCAATATGGCCATCCGGGTGATGCTAGAGAGCTTTATCGATACCCAGAAGTTCAGCGTTATGCGCAGTATGCGCAAGGTGGGATACAAATATGGGTTTAGATGAGGAACAGTTAGACAACTAGCCTTGCCTGAGAAGGAATTCAGTGGGGGGTTGGGGGACTCATGGCCCTACAGGTGGGGCCCTAACCCTGCCCCAGGCTGTTCTAGTCAATGGAAGCCGGACTGGTCTCACTGCTGTGAGCAAGTAAGAGGAGGTGGGGGCAAGGGACACAGCAAAAAAACCTGGTTAATGGGGAATGTTAATGCTATGGAGAAGTGGTTGAGAGCACATGGGTTGATCTTGTGTCCCTTTTTTCTTCTTAGACCTTCGCCCGTTACTTATCGTTCCGGAGGGATAACAATGAGCTATTACTCTTCATCCTGAAGCAGCTAGTGGCAGAACAGGTGATCTACCAGCGCAATCGCTATGGGGCCCAGCAAGACACCATTGAGGTACCTGAGAAGGACCTAGTGGATAAGGTAGGGACCAAGAGCAGGGATGTGCTGTCCTGGGTCTTAGGGCCATGTTTGGGGAGCATGGGCTATCACATAGCATGCTTTAATTCCCTAATTTTGTCTTTCTTAGGCTCGTCAGATCAACATCCACAACCTTGCTGTTTTTTATGACAGTGAACTCTTCAGAATGAATAAATTCAGCCATGACCTGAAACGGAAACTGATTATCCAGCAGTTCTAAGACCTCAGGACACTGTAGCTAATTATGTACTTTGCTTCTGGAAGGTCAAGACAGCTTTGAACACCCTGTTTGCTTTGTGCCTTAGGGAAACCTCACCCAAGAGCTTTGTTAAACCACCAATGGACATGGGAAAATGGTGGAGTCCTGTTGGTTCAGGATTCGGACACCTTAACTTGGCCACCAGGGTCCCCTTGGCTGTGGTTCTGAAGGTCACTGGTTGTGGGCCGGAATGGTCATTTTGTATGTTCTCTTCCTTTGCTGCTTTAGATGCCTCTATTTTGTATTTTTCTTCCTAGCTTCTCTGGAGCTTGAGCTCAAGACCTTGTGATCTAAAAGATAGTGCCCTCTTATTGATTTTGGTCAGAGAAAATTTCATATTTAATAATATTCTGAAAGCATGAGATACCCTGGCCCTGCGCTTAGTTGACTTTGGCCAGATGACGTATTAAGACTGGTTTTTTTCCACTCTGGCATTTCATTTATCATCTTTAGTTATTTGTGCCATCCTCTGCTTAATAGCAGTTACAAGTGAGTAGGAAAAACTAGTGTATATCACTTCTAGAACTGTCTGCCTTACACTCATCTGGGTAGAGGTGAATATCTGTATAGAACAGAAATTAGAAACCTAGCAATATAAAGTGGATAATTTTGACCCTGCCTGGCCCTCCTCAACTGAGGAGAGTCAAGCAGCAAATATGTGACTACATTATATGATCATGAGGGCCAAAGGTTCAGTCGTTTTTGCCACATCCACCTTTTCCCATCCCAGTTGTTTCCTTTTTACCAATGGTTTTTGTACATTGTGTTTTCACTTTTGTAGTTTTCATTTTGCATAAGATGATTAAAATGTTTACTTGGAAATTCTAATGTCTTAGTTCTCCTTTGAGGCATCAGAGTATAGTAGAAATAGTGCTAGAACAGAAACTCCCGAGTTCTGCTACTTAACTAGCAGTATAACCTTGAGCCTTCAGTCTTCTGATCTTTGGGGATAGTACCCTGCTTTGTCTACCAAGGTCATGAGACAGCTTCAGGGGTCAAATGAGGAGGCAGTATGATAGAGTGCTGGACTTGGAATTGTGAAGATAGTGGGCTTTAATTCTGTCTCTGACACCACCTATGTGATCACAAGGAAGATACTTTTCTGAGCCTCAATTTCATTATTTGTAAAATGGGGATAATACCTGTAGTACCTGTCTCACAGAGAGTTATGAAATGCAAATGAGACAGTGTATTGCAAAGCTTTTTGCAAACTCAAGTGCTGTATAAAATCCGTTTCTAATTATGATCATTACTGTGTCTTAAATACACACTCTTTAGGGTTCTAGCAGCCTCTTTTGAGGATTTCTTTCTTTAGGAGATCAGTCATATAGCATGCCTTGTTTAGCCTATATGTGGGTAAGGACATTTAACCTAGGGCTGATTGAGGACTTTACAGTTGCTGACTGGTAAAGTGAAAAGATCTCTGACTTTGGAGTTAGAAAACCTGGGTTCAAATTCCTATCTCTTGACTACCTGAGTAACTTTGGGGAAGTCACAGCTTTTCTAGGCCTCAGTTTCCTCATCTGTAATATAAGCAAGATAAGACGAGATGGCTTCAAAGGTCCCTTTCAGCTCTAAATCTGAGTCTGTTTGAAAAAGATTGGACATTTGAGATGGCATGGAAAAGACCATAAAGCTTATCTATTCCAACCTTCTACCTTCCATAGTAACTCTTTTAATATCTTAGTCCCTCCTTGAACACTTCCAGTGATGGGGGAGCTCACTACTTCATTCCACTGTTGGAACAGCTCAGAAATCTTCATCCCTATATAGCTTCGGCCCACTGAATCAATGAATGTCAGAGCTGCAGGGGACATGGGAAGTCATCCAGTTCAACACCTTCATTTTTACAAGGGAGAAAACAGGATTACAGAAAGTGAAATGATGTTCCTAAGATCAGAGTGAGTGGGACTAAAACTCAAATCTCCTGACATCTTCTGCTCTACTATTGCAGTGACTTGGTCTTTGTTCAGCCATTTGGAACAACAAATAATAGCTGACCTTTATATAGCTCCTTATGGCTCCACAGTGTTCTGCATACATCTTTTGGTGGATACTTAGGCTCCTGAGCACTTGTTTATTACTGCTAAAAGGGTGACTTTCCCATGGGTGGCAGAATCCACCTAAGCTGCTTCTATAAGCCATTTATTCACCTGTCTGCCACAGTCCCACTGCTTAGAAGTCCTATCATTGCTAGGCCACATTGTTTCCAGGGTACTTTCAGCTGTTCCCTCTAACGGTCTGGAGCCACACAGGAATGTAAGGATCAGGCTTGTTCTGTGTGGCCCCAGGCCTCTGAGGAATGGTACTGGTGAAATTTGGACGGACATAAGAAAACTCCCCTCCATTCCTGCGGAGACTTCGAATAAAGGCTGAATGAAGCACCCCCCCCCCCCCCCCAGGGATGTGTTCGGAGGCCCTTGCTCGGTGCGGGTTGGCCCTAGGGGCCCCGGGGCCTGCTGGTTGGAATGTTCCAGCCCTGGACACACGGCTGTGGACGAGGTCGGCCTCGCCTCCGTGCTACAGCAGCGAGACTAGAGGGACCAGGTCTCGGGCCCGGGCCCGATGCCTCCCAGCACAACCGTGGCCAAGCAAGGCCTCGTTCCTCGACCGAGTTAACCATCCCGAGGCTGGGTGTGTGCCTGGCCCCTGAACCCTTCAGGCGAGGCCCGCTTGGCCTGCGGCTCCTCTGCCCCTCCCCAGGTTCCACCTCCTTCTTCACCTGCCCCAGCAGGGCGCTACCCGACGAAGTGGCAAGGAGGGCGCGAGGGAAGACCTCTAGAGCCGTTAAGGAGGTTAGGGCCCTTAGAGACGCGAGGCACGTGAGAGCAGCCTCAGCGCCTGATTGGTTCGTCCCGACAGAAAAGGGCGGGGTTGGGGCGGAAGGGGGTCGATTCCTTCTGTACCCGCTTCCTTCCGGTCGAGGCGTGAGGCACGAGGCCCGGCGAAAGAGAGAGGGAAGGAGAGAAGGGGCGGGGTCCAGTGTGAGTGACTGCTCAGCGGCCTTATTGCGCTCGCCCGGCCGGCCCCGCCCTCCGCGCTCGGTTACGCCCGAGGCGAAGCTCCGGGGTTGCTGCGGCTGCGGCGGCAGGAGGACGCCCGGGGCGTCTGTGGGAGCCGAGCGAGGCTGCACCATGGGCCCGCTACTGCGCGCCGCCCTCCTGCTGGCCTGGGGTGAGTGTCCGGGGCCTACGGGCATGATGTCTGGGAGGCCTAAGGAGGAGAAGGGGGGAGGGGAAAGTGAGAGGGGGAGGGTCGGTGACAGACATAGTGCTGATGGACAGCGCCCGGGTGTGGGTGTGTGTGTGTGTGTGTGTGTGTGTGTGTGTGTGTGTATGCATGCATGCATGTGTGTGTGTGTGTGTGCGCGCGCGAGTGTGGATGTGTGTGTGAGAGACAGACACTGCTATACGGAGTGTGTATGTATGTGACACGCTGCTGGATAGAGCCTGCCTCTGTGTGTGACATACGGGGTGTGTGTGTGTGTGTGTGTACGCGCGTGCGTGTGACAGACACTGGTTTACGGGGTGTGTGTTTGTGTAACACACTGCTCTATGGTGGGTGGGTGGGTGTGAGAGAGGGAGACGCTGCTGTACGATGTGTGTGTGTGAGATACTGGTTTACAGGGGGGTGTGTTTGTGCGACACACTACTGTTCAGTGTATGTGTGTGTGTGTGTGTGTGTGTGTGAGACGCTGCTGGACAGCTCCCGGGTGGCCTCACCCACGGGTGTGCGAGGGTGCACGCCACAAACCCTGCCGTGCTGGTTCTTGGGTTGTCTCACATGGGGTATACGTGCACAGTTGGTGGGGGCAGGGAGGTAGAAGCGGTCAGTCGAGCTGCTGGACAGCGCCTGTGAGGCTTCGCGCAGGGGGTGTGTATGTGTCTCTGCTCCCATATGGCCCCCACCAGGGAGAGGTGTTCATAAGCATGTTTGTGTGACTGACACGCTTCTGGATAACGCTTATATGGCTTCATACAAGGTGTGTGTGACAGACGCTGCTGGACAGCTCCCGTTTGCCCTAACTTAGGATATGCGTGATTACTAAATTACAGCTTGGTGTGTGGGGCCACTGCTCAAGGGCGTGGGGTATGTGTGTGTATGTGAGAGACACAGACATGCTTCGGAGATATGATGCATGTCATACACACTCCCTAGTGGCTTTGACCCGGTGACACCTGGGGTGTGATCTTACGTGAGAAACAGACAGATTCTGCTGGACAGCTCCTGGTACAGCAGCCACTCAAGGATATGGGGTGAATGCATGATAGAGTAACAGCCAGTTCTGTGGCTTTTACACAAAAGAGAAGGGAGAGGGGTGTGTAACATAGTAGCTTGTACATAGTAGGTGTGAATGGTAGGTGCTTAATAACTACTGATTGAATTGAATTGAATAACTATTGATTGAATTCACATTCAGTAGCCATACAAATGTAAAGAATTATGTGGCAGTGAGTGTTTGTGTATGATATGTACCACCACCTTGGCCTTACATTCATGTGATGCTTTACAATTTTCAAAGTGTGTTCACATATATTATCTCATTTGCTCCTCAGGACAGCTCCTGAGGTATCTCAGTTTTACAGATGAGAAAACGAAGGCGTAGACAGGCTAAATATCTTGTTTATGGTCACATGGCTGGTTAGTATTTGAGCTGGGATTAGATCTCAGGTTTTCTAACTCAATCTATTATTGTTTTTGTTACATCACATTATCTCATCCACTGAGGAATAGTTCCTATATGATTACTACACAGGGGTGAAAGCTGTATATGTGCATGTGTTTGTGTTACAGATACTGTTGGATCTTGTGTAGCTGCTACCAGAACAATTAGGAAGGTATGATTCTGTCTGTGAGCAGACACTGTTGTACAGTCTGGCATAGTTGTCATACAAGGGTATAAATGTGAGCTTTTGTATGTCATAAGTGATGCTGAATAATTATTTTAAGGTACATACCGCTCAGGTCCTCTTTATATCCCTGTACTGACTGCAGACTGTCCCCTAGCTTAACCAATCAAGGCTTTGCAGAGAAATGTAAAGCAGAGTAGAATAACTCATTCCCTGTTTTGTCTTGGGATCCTATCGTCCTGACTTAGTGGTAGTGTTCTTTCACTGCCCTATTTTGCACCCCCAAGTGGGGACCTCCTAAGGGAATTGATCTATTTGTCTCTGTGTGTCTACCAAAAAGGTGCTTAAAATGAACTGGATTTCAGAAGCACTTACAGAAAAACAAAAACAAAACAAGATAGCTCTCTTTCTGAGCTGACTGCTGGAGCCAGGAGCTGACTACTGAGACAGAATTTGGAATTTGGGAATGAGCTGGGCAATTGCTAGGTGACATACCTCCTTCCCTTTTCTGTGTGGGATGATCAGTTAGATATTCCACTCTTTGGGGCTGTTACCTTAAAGAAATCTGTATGGGATCATAGTATGACCAAAGATCTAGAAGGGACCCCACAGTCCATCTAGTTCACCCTTACTTGCACAAGGTCACATCAAGTATCAGAGGCAGAATTTGACCCCAGGCCCTCTGACTCTAGAGTCAGTGTTCTTTCCCTTGTACCAATGTGCTTTGTGATAGCTTCTTTTACTCTACTCACTCTATTTGTCAAGCATCGTAAAGTAACAAAAAATTTAAAGTGCTTAGGGGTAAAGAAAACCAACCATTCAGAGTGAAATCCTGAAATATGAAGTTGGGTGTGGCCTTCATTAAGGCAGATTAATTGTTAAGTGTGAAAGTAATTATACTTAGAATGGTTAGGTCTGTGCTACTATTTTGGTGTAATCTTTTTGTAGATGTATTTGAAGAGAAAGGACTCTCATCTAATTACCTAAATAATTATGTACTGTCAAGGTCTTTGAAAATATCAAGGTCTATATAAAGGCAAAATACTCATCATAGAAGCAAAATAACCAAAGAAAATGGGATGCTTCCTGGAGAACATCAGCTAAAACCTAGAGATGAAAAACCAGGAAAACAGATTCTCTTACACGCACACACACACACACACACATCATTTCATTCAAGTCGGTCAAAGCCCCTGGTTATTTCAACTCATCCAAAAGAGATAGGAAAGAAAGCAGGGCAGGAAAGAGAGATGTGTTGCAGAGAAACTGACTCTCCTTACTTTACAGGTGAAGGAACTGGGTCAAGGAGAAGGAAGTGACTGGCCTGAGCCTCCACCTGAGTCAAGAATGGAACAGAGAATAGTGCCCACAAGTCCTTCAGTTGGACATTCTGTCCTGAATGCTCTATACAGGACTCAATGATCATAAAAATAATGGACTTTTTAGAGTTGAAAAGGACCTCAGAGGTTATTGAGTCCAACACGTGACTGAAATAGAGTATCCCTCACCAATGGTGGTTCAGTTTCCACATGACCACTTCCAGAGATGGCAAATCTAGTGCCTATTGAGGCAGTCTGTTCCACCTTTGGGTAGTTCTAATGGTTAGGAAGATTTGTACTCATATTTAGCTGAATTTTCTTTCACTGCTTCTCATTCTGCTTTCTAGGACCAAGCAAAACAAATCTAATCCTTTTTCCCATGTAGACCTTTCAAATATTGAAGATAGCTATATATCATGTTGCCCCCTGGTTTTATCTTTTTCAGGTTAAAAATCCTCAATTTCTTCAATATCTTCTTGTTTCATGGCTTCTAGTTTCTTTACTATTCTAGTCACCCACTTCATACTGTGTCACAGTTTATCAATATCTTTCTTTAAATGTGTTATCCAGAACTGAATGCATACTTCCTATGTCATCTGACCAAGGAAAATTACAATGGAAATATAAACTTCTTGCTCTAGACATTTCTATTCATGTAGCCTAAGATTGTTAAGAGTTTCTTTTCCTTTCCTTTTTTTTTTTTTTGGCCACAACCTCACACTATTGACCAATAATGAACTTGCAGTTCACTAAAGCCTCCAGGTCCTTTTGACTGAAATATTGTCTAACATCTTCCTCCCATGCTATATACCTATACAGTTACATTTTAAACAATTGCCTTTATTTTTAGTCTAAACTTCATAAACACCAAAGAAAAGATCATTTCCTCCACATAGTAGAGCAAAAAAAAAGAAGATTGTATGTGAAATGTACAGTTGTTTTTTAACCTAAGTATGAGACTTTTATGTTTTTCCTTTTAATTTTATTAAATGAAATTTATATCAGCCTGTCAGAAGCTTTCTAGATCCTATTTCTATCATCCAACATGTTATTTTTTCTCTCATCTACACAATGAATGAGCATACCATCTATACTTTCACCGAAGTCATTGATAAAAAATATTAAATTGAATAGTGCCAAGAATATAGTGCTGTGTCCTTGCACTAGAAATAGCCCTTCAGTTTGACCTCAATCCATTAATATCTTTGGGTCTGGTCATTGAATCAATTCCAAACCCAGCAAATGAAGGATCACTCAATTCACACCTTTTTCTTTTTTCAGCCAGGATATTGCAAAAAAAGATATTTTGCCAAATGTCCAACCAGACTTCCTAGAAAGATAGGGAAAATGAATGACTCTTCCTATCCATTCAGTCATTTCACAAACATTTATTGAATGTCTACTGTGTGCTAGGCCCTATGCTAGGCATTGAGGAATATAAAAAAATAAGTTTACAACCCAATGGGAGAAATATGATTTGTATGAAAACAACTAATGCAATTTATAGTATCCTAAATTCGAAAAAAAATAGTTATATCAAAATACTTTGGGATTACTAAGGAAGATTTCTTGGAGGAGGCAGGTACCTTTCAGAAATGTACCTGGAATGTGTAGTAGTTAATTCCCCTATCTTGACCCCCTCCCTGCAAGTTTGCCTAGTTTGCCTTAGAAGGTGTAAAAACTGCCTTCAAGATATAATTGACTCATTGAATAAAAGCTTGAGCCACTGAGGGTGACCTGAGTATAAAGCATCCAGGACATGAAGGGCTAGAGGTCCTTTCTCTGGCTTATGACTATGGACTGTCACCATGAACCACACTGGGAAGCTGTGTCCAATTGAACCAATGCTTTATCCTAGATGAACTCTGTCCCTTGCTCTGACTGCCTTCTCCTGCCATGGCTAAGTAAATTTCTTTTTTGCTAACTGTTAGATGGATTACAAGAGTATCATTTCATTTTGGTTTTAGATCCAGACAACCAGGATATTAGTCTTAATCAGAGCCAG